CAAGGTATTATATTATATTTAATGGGTTCTTAATTGATCTTGAGTAAGTGGTAAAACATTACATTGGCTGTTTGTTAAGTGTGCTCGTTCTATTTCCGTACATTCTTTTTGTTTGTTTTCAAAGTATCGAATGCGCATTTATGAATAATTAATATAATTATGCATATCAAGAGCTTATTATATATGGAGTAGTGACAATAGCTTGCGGCGACACGCCTTAGCTAAACACTTGTGATGTAAACTAGTAATGTCCCATAGCAGTATATCACTATTTACACTGCTGTGACCTATTGAAGGTGTTATCATGTACATTGTATACTTTGCTATAATGTTGAGTATGTCCGTGTATGCACTGTTTGTTCTGGTGTGTGATTGGTTTGGCGAACACTTGATTCACCACTTCTGAGTGTCTTGTCAACAACATACAATCGTACCAGATCAAACGAATAATGTTATTTTTAAAACATCTTCAATTTGAAGAACTACGTGATGAATTATGAATATGTGTACTTATGCTAACAAACAAAATAGTTTACCTGACGGAGTCAAACAATATTCACCTGTGTCGACTTCTGCATGGGAAGGTCATATAAGACAATCCAATTCACAAACAGGTACATAATTAACGATACACCTGTGACGCTAGCGTATCACTTGGAAAAAATGTTATCGTTTATATACAGTACTAGAGACAGACTAATCAAAATTCAACAGTACCATTTGGACGATAAGTTATTGAGGAGGATGTTTTTGAGATATATACATTGGAAACTGAAACTATAATTGTGATGATAAACAATTCGTTCAGCTCAAATGAGGATATTATCTTACTGCATGGTACTACATTGTGGTACTTAATGGTACTACATTGTGGTACTACATGGTACTTCATTGTGGTACTACATGGTACTACATTGTGGTACTACATGGTACTACATTGTGGTACTACATGGTACTACATTGTGGTACTACATGGTACTACATTGTGGTACTACATGGTACTACATTGTGGTACTACATGGTACTACATAGTGGTACTACATGGTACTACATAGTGGTACTACATGGTACTACATTGTGGTACTACATGGTACTACATTGTGGTACTACATGGTACTACATTGTGGTACTACATGGTACTACATTGTGGTACTACATGGTACTACATTGTGGTACTACATGGTACTACATTGTGGTACTACATGGTACTACATTGTGGTACTACATGGTACTACATAGTGGTACTACATGGTACTACATTGTGGTACTACATGGTACTACATTGTGGTACTACATGGTACTACATTGTGGTACTACATGGTACTACATAGTGGTACTACATGGTACTACATAGTGGTACTACATGGTACTACATTGTGGTACTACATGGTACTACATTGTGGTACTACATGGTACTACATTGTGGTACTACATGGTACTACATTGTGGTACTACATGGTACTACATAGTGGTACTACATGGTACTACATAGTGGTACTACATGGTACTACATTGTGGTACTACATGGTACTACATTGTGGTACTACATGGTACTACATTGTGGTACTACATGGTACTACATTGTGGTACTACATGGTACTACATAGTGGTACTACATGGTACTACATAGTGGTACTACATGGTACTACATTGTGGTACTACATGGTACTACATTGTGGTACTGCATGGTGAAACATTGTGGTACTACATGGTACTACATAGTGGTACTGCATAGTACTACGAGCTTCTGCATTGTAGTTCAGGGTGGTACATAGCCAGGGGCCCAGGTGGCAGTAGTTAAGGCCCCGGGCTGTCCATAACCATTAGCCCTTCATTACTTGGTCGGGTCTACGTGGGAAATTCGTTAGGTACTCGCCGCAGGTCGGCGGTTTTTCTTCTGGTGCTCTGGTTTTCCTTCACCAGCTTAACCTGAGTCGTCCTTACATGACCATAGATGTTAATAGGACGTAAACCAGAAATACACTAAACTTAAAGGTCACTTCCCCCTATGGTGACTTGCAGCAAACTACATGGTTGTATACTTATACGTTAATTGATTCATTCATTCACACATTCGTGTATATTTACACGCTAAATCGCTTTGTAGCATTACAAATAATTTGTCTGACATATTCTTAGAGACACTCCCTATATTGACAAAGAACCGGAAAACATGCGAATGAAGTGGACGGATTTTGCGCTTTTTTGTCTGAAGAGGACGGTTATCTCCTTCTTCGTATCTTTTCTAACTGAAGTGATAGATATGATTTTTTCATACGCGATATTATGATATTCATCATCACCGGCTGTATGCTCCCCATGAAGTTGAGAAAGATAATGGCTGGTTGCAAAGGCCCTATAACCACGGATAATAATGTGTGTACCGCTTTGAGACGATCTACGAACTAGGTTGTGATAAAGCGCTATATACGAACCTCAAATTATGATTATTATCTCGTTCTTTCCGCATGTGTACTTTGACCTTGGAAATCAGATAGTGTTTCACATATAGCATATGGTTATAAGAAGAATTTGAACATATGCTTTGCGTTCAGAACAGGGGCCGTAGTCTCCTTATCATTGGCAGTGCAGAATATGCCATGAGACTGTAAGCTCCTTTGTTGTGGCGATGGAGATACTTTAATGATATAAAACTCGTAAATAAGTCTGTAGGCTTCTTACTTGTGTCCTTGTAGATGCTATAATGATATTTAATTTGAAGATAAGGTTGGATGCTCCTACTTTGTGGCCTGGTAGATGCTATAATGATACTTAATTTGAAGATAGGTTGTGTGATCCTTATTTGTGACGGTGTAGATAATGCTATTTAACTCTTACATTAGGTTGGAGGCTCCTACTCTGTGGCCTTGTAGATGTACTATGTTACAATGAGATGAAACGGTATTCTCCTTATTTGTGATTATGTAGGTGCTACGTGTTAAATGATATGGAATCAGTAGGACGCCGGGCTCGTGACCGAAGGGTTGTGGGTTCGAGTCACGGCACGGACTTTGAGCAAGATAATTTACCCCGCTTGTTCCAGTCAACTCAGCTGTAAATGAGTACGTGGTTGGGCAGTGCTAGAATTGTTGAATGCTAGCTGTTAGCGCCGAAATGGCAGAACCGGCTGTATGCTCCCCAGGGAGTTGAGAAAGATATTGGCTGGTTGCAAAGGCCCTATAACCACGGATAATAATTTGTGAACCGCTTTGAAACGACCTACGAACTAGGTTGTGATAAAGCGGTATATAAGAACCTCGAATTATTGATTATTATTATTATTCTATTAAAGAAGCGCTATATGAGGTTGTACTCTCCTGACATGTGACAGTGTAAATGCTGGAGATCATATGTATATTATACTTGACCTATATAAACTGTTGTTGATTTGATGTACATCCGGAATACCCTAGAACTTATATTACCCTCTGAAGGTCAATGGACCCCAATTTTGCATCTTTCCGGTGCTTTGTTGGAACGTCCGCCCAAGATGAACACTCATCCCACTTGAAGAGATTCACGTATCACATTTATGTGAAGTTTCAAATAAGAGCACAGGCTATAAGGGTGTACTCAAGTGAATTTGACGACACACAAGTTATCAAGGACGAGAGAGCTCGTGGTTTGTACATAATATGACAATGCGTAGGGTCTAGTGAATGAGAAATACCATACCGATTTTATGAATAACTTAAAATTACAATGTAATAAAGAGTTTGAATTTGAAACAGCATGCGATAGGTGAACCATTTCACCATAACTAGCGTTTATTTTATTTCACGCCCAGGCAACGTGTTACTAATAGTAACCAATGATTATCTGTGTTATATCTTTTCCATATCCTATAGCGATATTTCTTCATTTTATTGTTGTTTTGTATTTAAACATGGTTAAAATAATAACATTTAAAAGCATTGGCATAGCTCACCATAAATAGAAAAAACGTGACACCTGGTGTAGATTATATCATAAATATCATATTGTGAATTGAACAGCACAAAATAAATATATTTCACGATAGAGTATAATCATATCGCGCCAAGTGTTACGTTAAGGTGTGAGACAGGTCGGGCTAGATAGACAGATGACACGGGATACCCGTTCTGCGGTATCAATATTAAAATTAGATATCTTGAAAATATTGAATATTGGAAATTAATCTTGTCAACAGCTTGCAATCGTACCAGGTCAAAAAGGATGATATATTTTAAAGCAATTTTAATTTGAAGACTTATGTCATAAACTATGAATATGTATACTTATGTTATCAATCAACAAATTGATCTGACGGTGTCAAATAAAATTCATCTGTGTTAATCTCTGCATGGGAGAGTCATATAGGACGATTCAACTTACAAACAGGTACATAATTTTCCCCTTTCTGAGGTATTAAAATAATAACATATAAGGTGTAAGCTAGGGGGATATATACGGTTATCTCAAACAAGCACTTAAATTCTATAACATAATCCCGACCGGGCGTCAAATGGTAAATGGAGTCCTCACCACTTTGTACTGTTCCAGGGTCATTAGTCATGACGTAATCAATCAACGTGTTATGTCCACTTTTCTTTTTTTTAAATGTTTACTACAAAAATATAATATTTGAACTTTTCACCGGTGATACGTCAGAATACGATACCATTGACCCCAATGAGAATAGCTGAAGTTTTGCTAAGTATATAGTAACAGTTATGACTGTTATGCAAATAGAGTTTTTCAAAATTATTTTGAAGATTAAATATTAGAAATAATGTTCACTTGATTGAAAATCCTAGACATTTGTCAAGAATGTTGACACTAGTCCCGTTGTTGCAAGAAATTGCAATACACAAGATTTCGTTTTTAAATGGAGAGAATGCAGCGTATTAGAGTATTAAAATAAACCGACTGTGAAAATACGCCCCTTGCTGTCCTGAAATAGGGAACACACTTGGTGTTGTCATTTATAAATGTGTTGTTCACATTTTCTGATCACGTGACTGTCTTACCTGTTCTAGTAACCAATAATGGTGCTGTATACAAAATTCAAGAAACACGTAATCAGAACGGCAACTGTTTCCCGTTCATTAGAGCAGACATTTAGATAACTATCTAGGTCGACACATGCGACAGCTTACGGCTATAAACGTAGAATACTGTGTTTGAGATGTGAGGCGTCACAATCGAGTGATCACATACTATCTTGTTATCAACAGTGCGTAGCGTCAGTCAGTGATATTCGTGTAAGCACACAGACGTTAACGGGCTTTCGGATAGGCAGCATCAAAACTAGTTGGACGGATTCATATACAAGATTACAATATGGGAATAGCGGACACTACCATTATATTCAAAATAGCAATAGGATGTGCTTTAGCTGGATTTGTATTTCACCTGATCGGCTTAGCTACACCTTATTGGAGCTCCTTAACGGTGGCCGAGGGTACTATATTCGAGTCGGATTATCATAGCGGTCTGTGGAGGGGTTGCGTGGGAAGTGTTTGTGGCAGCATAAGTAATCCGGCAAGTAAGTATATATCTGACAAAATCTTTTCAAAAACTATATTAAACTTTAATACCTGTGCTCAAGATAGGATTTCGCTTGTATATTCGAAAGTGCAACAACGCAAAGACAGGAAAAATGGGCGTGACAAAATAATTAAATCAACAAATAAAGAATTTGTCAAACTTCATATTACTCGTAACTTAACTATCAAATTGTTCAATCATCACATTGTTATAGTTATTTGTGATTGTTATGAATAAGGATGTGTAGAATTAAACCAGAAAGCAACGTAAACAAAATGTGTCCCCGATGCATATGGCGGCAATCGATAGAGCGTCGGGGGTATGTGGGAGGAGTGAAAATAGACATTGTACTACGTGCTTTGGCCAGGTACAGATTGGTTGGTTGGTTGACGGGTTTATCGCCTACATTATATCGATTCCACCCATGTGACTTTCGTGTCACTGACGGTAGTCGGTGTTCTATCGGCGTTCCCGGCAGGTACAGCATTGCTTAAACTTCTTATACTGTTGGTTTAGGCCAGGTACAGCATTATTTAAACTCTTAATATTTTCTGATATTGGCAGTGTACACCACGGTAAAACCTCTTACACTATGTGACTTAGCCGTTTACAACACTGTATAAATCTTTTAAATTGTGTTCTCTAGGAAAGATACAGCATTATTTAAACTTCTTATACTGTTGGTTTATGCCAGGTACAGCATTATTTAAACTCTTAATATTTTCTGATTTTGGCAGTGTACATCACGGTATATAAACCTCTTACACTATGTGAATTGGCCGTGTACAACACTGTATACATCTTTTAAATTGTGTTCTCTAGGCAAGATACAGCGTTGTTTAAACTTCTTATATTGCGTTCTTTAGGCCGTGTGCAACATTTTAGAAATATTGTATACGGTGTGGCTTAAGGTGGTTACAACATTGTGTTATTATTTACGTCAAAATGTGATATGATGGTAAGTAATAGAAGACTTCAAAAACTTCTACATACATTTGGCTGCACAATAGTACGAAATGACATCAAATGCATACAAACCCTCCTCGGTTCTATAGCATTTAAATGGATAGGCTAGAGTTCAGCAGAGACGTATCAATAATTGATTGCCTGAGGACAGAATGGCAGACGGGTCGTCAAAGTATGATAACAGCTATGTGATTGTATAGGTAGATGGTTGTGGCCAAGCGCGATACAATATAACTGTTCGTATTTGTGTCAATCACTTAGTGAACGTCACGTTCACTGATACATGAAATTATTTTACATTTGCAGAAACGCACATATGATAACAGCTTAATGTGGGATGGAGGGTTTGGGTGTAATTAATCTTTTGAATTCTGCTAAGTAATAATAATATACAACATTTATATAGCGCCCTATATAATTTGTAAAATTACTCTAAAGCGCTTTACAACATATGGATAATAGTATTTGTTATAATTGTGAAACAAAAAAGGCTTGCAATCACTTTTATACATAAAGCAAAAATATAACCATTGCAATGTGCACAAAAATGAATAAATAAAGGGTGGGAGTTACATGACGTATTTGGAAAGAGCCTAAAATGCAGACGTGAAGAGGTGATTTTTTGATGTCCTTCTTGAATTGAGGACCCGTAAGATAATTACTTGCTGACAACCACAGGGGACCTTAAAACCAAACGCGCAGAGAGACTTATTGGATGTTTATCTTCGCCCTCCCAAATGTGCCATATATACTTCAATGATGAAAGGCTTTCGGAAGTTTTAACAAGAGGCCAATGGCCGCGTAGGCTGTCGCTTATTATTAATACCTTTATGACTCTTAGGGATTCCCGTACGACTGTTACCAACTGTCACCACGCATTCAAAACCGACTGTCCTGGCATGGATACAGCGTTGCTCAAACATTCCTGAAAAGAAAAACACACCTTGCATGACTATCATGAAAAATAACTGACAGGAAATAACAAAACTTATGAACAACATTATTCTGAGTAAAACACATCAGTGCGCTAGCACCGGGATTCGAACCAAAGAAGTTGAGATTGTTATACTGACTACTGTTATATTTAAAACGAAATACAGGGGAGGTAACTGTGTATACAAAAAAAAGCCACGACAGTAAACAGAGGGACAAAGGTCCTTAAGCCAGGTTAAGCGAGAACAGCAAATTTCTGTGAACACATCATGGTATTTTGATATATCGGTGATATTTATCGCAACGTTATTGATATTTTCTTAAAAATATAAAACACGCATTATTGAAATATGTTTGCTTCAGTACACTTTGCTTATTCAAAAAAGAAAAAAACTTTCATTTTGAAATATACACTTTACTTTACAAAATCAGGAAACTAATTATATCAACTTATAGTAAACACTCTTGTTGTCCCGGATGTAAACGCACATGGGTTGTTGTTTGCGAGGACACCGAAGTACCCGCTAAAACACACGTGATCGGACAGGTGGCCTCCATACCTTTTCACGTATGATCGGGGAATCAAACCCATGTACCGGCCATCTTGGTGAACGGCGAATGTGCTATCTATTACACTTCTGACCAGCATTTCTTTCATTGCGACACAAGAAATTAATGATTGGTCCTAAACACTATATACTGTAGTTTGAACAAAGACACACATTGTGTATTTCCCCTTACAGTGGAAACTTGATAAAATTCAACGACACTATTAATGTACCAGGTACCCAGCGACATACACATGGTGCACGAAATCACGGCATTTAAACGGATTTGTTTTCTTTATTTACATTTTTAGCTCACCTAGTCCGAAGGACCAAGGTGAGCTTATGCCATACCGTGGCGACCGTCGTCGGTCCATCGTCTGTCGTCCGTCTTTCGTCGTCCGTCCGAACTAAATTTGAATGGGAGCATCAAAATTGTATAAATAAAGGGGGGCCGAGCCGAGTTGCGGGGCCTAACAGGGTTTTTTGGCTATATTTGTTTAAGTGACTTCTTCTCTGGAACTAAGCAATGGATATCAATCATATTTTGTTGAAAGCGTGCATGGGAGGTGGTGATTCAAAATTGTACAAATTGAGGGGCGGGGCCAAACAAGGTTTTATGGCTATATTGGTTCTAGCGATTTCTTCTCTGGAACTTAGCAATGAATATAAACTGTATTTGACTGGTAGCATCCCTTGGTGGTTGGGATTAGAATTAGTACAAATGGTGGGGCTGACTCCCCAGGGCGCTGAGGGGAAGGACCAAAAGAGATAATTTGGCTATTTTGCATTAAGTGACTTCTTCTCTTGAATCAAGCGATGAATATCAACTATATTTTGTAGAAGCATCCCAAGGTGCATCGGGATAAACAATTGTACAAATGGACAGACGGACACCCCCGGGATAAGGGGTGGGGCCACAAATAGTTCATAACTTGGAAATGGTTGAGATTCCCACCCTATAACCATATATACAATTACTGAGTATACAGAGATAAATGTACAGATCCTTCCAGGAAGGCCCTTGGGGTCAGACCCAACCCTGGTAACTTAGTTTCTTAGCCATAACTCTGAAACAGTGGAGATCTCTACCCCAAAACTAGATATACAGTTTCTAGGAATAAAGAGACGAACACGATTATGATATTAGCATTGACCCTTGGGTCTGACCACACCCGTAGGGACATAGTTTCTGAGTCACAACTTGTAAACAGTTGAGATCCCCACGCTATAACCATGTATCCCTTTGCTGAGTATACAAATGTACATATACTTCCAGGATTGCTAAGGGGTTTGTCCTACCCTTGGAGACGTAACCCCTGGGTCATAACTTCGAAACGGTTGAGCTCCCCACCCCAAAACTATATATACAAATGCTGGGCATAAAGAGACGAATGCGGTCATAATATTAGAATTGGCCATGGGGTCTGGCCACAACCCTATGGACCTAGTTTCTGAATCACAACTTGGGGACAGTTAAGATAACCACCCCATAACCACATAACATACAATTGCTTGGCAAGAAAATTACAAGATACAAACAAGATACAAGATACAAGAAACTTTATTTAACGTCGCATACAGGTAAACAAGGAACATTAGCTCTTGAGAGCTATAATTGCGACAAACATATGTAAAATAACAATAACATATTATATGACATAGATACTCACATATATTAATAATAAAAAAAAACAGTAATAATCATCACAGAAAAAAAAGTATACATATCCCAGGTTTCTAAGTGAGTGGGATAACAAATATAATACATATATATATGCTGCAAGGATTGGCTTCAGGGTCTGGTCCTATCCCTGGGATCTTCTTTGAAGAATATATAACCATGATTGCCTAGATATCCAGGTGAGCTATACAAGCCCTCTGGGCCTCTTGTATTAGACATACACGTTTTCCACAAATTATCGCCTATGCAAACGTCAAGGACCCCAGTTCATGGATATATCTGTGTAACAAGGAGAGAGAGACATGCATAATTAGACCAGGATTTGGACCAAGGACCCGCCGAACTCTAGACGCTCTTAACCAAACGCGCTGCCTGATCGCCGGCGGCCGACATAGCAAGTCCAGCTACATCTGATAACAACCGCTAGCTTTGCTTGGCTGAATGAGGTCAGGCGCCTCTGTGTCGCATATAAAATTTCGCACTAGGCAACGCGGAAGCCATCGGCAAAAAGCGACAAAATTATTTAAACGTCCCTAAAAGTTTTCAATAAATATTGCTATTTATAGATTTCAAATTCAAATTACAGCACGCTACTGAAGTATTTCCAAATGAAAATTCAGTGAATCGTATTTACGACATATCTTATAGATCTGCATGCATCTGTGAAGGCTTTTATCGCATTCCTGTTTTGCTATTCAAAGCTGATTTACATTTAACATTGTTTTTGAAGCAAAGGGTCGCACACGAATGACTCCTCTTACTTTTTCATCGTAAGAATCATAATTATTCTTTTGTGTGCATGCCTTTTTAATCCTACCCAAGTCACACAGACTTTTAAAGGAAACACATGAATATGAAGACGGTCATTAA